CACAGACACCGCTCCTTCCAGGGGCTTGAATTATTTCAAAAGGAGACGTCTGACTCCCAGTTCATGCTGGTGGCTCTGCATGAGTGCGCATCACTGACACGAGGGCGAGTGGAAAGAGGTAGAAGGAGCAGGTGGCGCTACTTAAAGCTCAAATGAAAGAAGGAGAATATGAAAGTCAACGCTTAAGTGTGAAATGAGCTGAGAGGACATGGACACACGAGGCTGGCATATGACTACGGCGGGTTCTTCATTTTAGTAAAATAAGGAAGGAATGCCAGTTTCCCCCCCTTTTCCATTAACTCATTCTTTTGAGCTTCTCTACAGAGGAGTTATACAATGAGCCATATCCATTTTGAATAGATGGGTTCGGTTGAGTGACCTCAAAAGAAACTGAGAAAATGCAAGTTCAGTCTTTTTTAGATTATATACATCAGCACAGAATTGCTCACCATTTTAGTGTTTTAGATATTACTTTGAACCTGTTGTTGGGACAAAATGATCACAGTGATGCAGCCCCCCATTTTTGTATCATTATCATCTCATGATGCTGTTTCTGTTTCATCGGGCCGTATTTGGGGTCTCTCTCTGTAGGAATGAACCCCTGCCTTATTCACGTTGCTGTGGTTACTGCCGGATCACAGTAGAAATTCACGTCCATGTGAAATGGACATCTAGAGCCCTTGGGCTGCCCTCCATTATATTTTTTCCTCATGATTGCTCTTTTTATGTACATTTTCCGTTTCATTTACAAAATGTGCTTAGTTTTACTTTTTTATTTTTTGTTTTTTTTAAATAAATACCTTTGACTGTACATTGTATTTTGATTGGCTGACATAATGCAGGTGCCCGCTGGTGCTTTTTTTGTACATTCTGATACTGTTAAAATCTCTTACCTCGTGCTCTTTATTTTACATGTCACATTTATTTCAAATGCTAATTGTTGCTTATTTTTATCTGCTGTACCAGGAGCACGTTTCAATTTGAATTCTCGTGTGACTTTTCACTTGAGATGGCCAGCAACAGCGATTAGAGCTCTGCTCTACATATATAATTTTTTTAACATATATTTCAACCTCCAAATATATCTACCTGTTATTTTGAAGGCCTTAAATACCCTTAAATGTTACCCAAAAGTGCAACTTGGTTTACTAGAGTTCATAGGATGATTGCTCAGTACAGAGCTTAGCTATTATCACCGCTACACTGATCCAATGCAAACAGCCAATGTGTATTTAGTGCCTGGCTGACACTTCCATACAAAGCCACAAATAATGGCAATGCAGAATGCAACAACTGTGATTGACCAGATTGATATTCCTCCACAACACACTGCTTGGCTGAAAGAGAACACCCGTGCAGAACAACAAATGTAAATTAAAACAGGATCCTGCCTGCAGCTACATGATCTCCTCTCCTTTTTAGAATTACAGGACATGTAAAGACTCCATCAGGTAAAAGGAGAATAAAGAAATCTGATCTCACAACATTCTTATTAAACTAAATTTATATCCAATTAGTTTTGTTTTCACTCATTGTTTGAAGCAGCAGCAAGATTGGTTTCGGGGAAGACCAGAAGCTGGCAGCTTCATTTTGAACGCACAAGCCTTGAAGACAAAAATAAATAAATAAGAAATGTATGTATGGAATTAGGAATATTTACACCATGTTCTAATTTGACTAATTTGTCATAATTATTTCTGCAGCTTCATCACTTTGACATGGTTAGTATATAGCATATTTGTGCTTATTTGATACTTTTATAATAGTATTATTAGTGGACATCTGCTTCTACATTCGGTTTAACTGTGGAGGCTCTTTTTCGGTTTTGGCTGAACTGAGCCTTTAAAATCCCCTTGCGATGACTTTTTATTCGACAATATCCACACCTTAAGGCAGTTGTTGTTGGTAATGAGGCATGATTTTTGTGAACTGCATTACCCATTACATGATTTTAAGCGTAATAAATCATGAAACGACATTCTTACACAGCATGATTGATCGAGTAATTATATACAAGCAACGTTTCTCCGATCACTTGGTGTCAAACCTCTGTGCCACCACACAGATTTATGACCAAATCAGTGACAGGGCGTAACAAGGCGAACACAGCTATGAATCAAAACATTGGAAATGACTGTAAACAACCAGCTGTAATCATATCAGACTTTCCTTTCATTCATCTACTGCTCCAAGAAGATGAGGTTGGTTTCTTTGGTCTGTCACTCGAGTTGTTTCTTTTAAATTTTTTTAGAATGTTTCAAGCTCTCACATCAGAAAATGAGAGCGCTATCTGCAGCCAGACAGGATGCGCATCCTTCAGATTTAGAAACATGAAAAACTGTTTATCCACTCTGAAAAGTGTTTCGTTTGGTCTTTCATGAACATTCAATTTACCGCTTGTGTGTCAGATAAATATAGTACATTATTGATTCTAATCCAATTGAGTAGTTGCCAACTCAATTGTTTGGAATGAATTGTTTCATTGTGAGTTCATTTAAATGCATTGTTTAAATCATTGAATATATTTAAGGAATGTAAAGATGGGAGCAGTTGGGGGTCAGGGTTAGGGGTTCAGTCCCAGGCTATATGTCGACATGTCTTTTGGCAAGACATTGAACCCCTCGTGGGCCTCAATCGAGGCGTTGTGTTGTGTGTCCTGGTTGTGCTGGTCCCAAGCCCGGGTAAATTCAAGGGTTGCGTCAGGAAGGGCATCTGGCGTAAAAACTCCTGCCAAAACACTTGTGAGTCCGTGGCGTGAAGACCTCTGACAGGAAAAGCCAAAGGGAAACATCAATGAAAGTAAAGTCACAGAAATGAGGTGTACAGGGAAATAATGTTGTACAATATTTTGAGATGGTAAAAATGTACCATCTTTACCATTACTTTCTAATATTTAATTCAGAATCTAATATTTGTGCTCCCAAAAAATATTGACCCTAAATAATTTGTGATCATATTATTAATTACATTTCTTTTAACTCAATATGGAACTCAATATAGGATATTGGACTAACTTAGTCAGTTTATATATGTGGTTTTGGTAAAACATTTGATTTTTGGGAAAAATGTTTAAATCTGGTAAAACCTGTACTTTTTATGCAAAGAAAAAAAGAAAACATCCCTGGAACAAACAACTAAGGCTGCCTCAAGAGAGCACGACCGTAATAGCAGACAACCCAACTTCATTTCCATTTGTCCGAATTTTGCCCTCTGGCACATAAAGCTTTCACCTCCACAGATTGACACAGATGTTATGCACTGACAGAAAATGCATTGACAAAGTGACACAATGCTGCCTTTTTCTTTGTTTACATACGTTTTATGTTTAGTATCATTTTATTAGTTTATCTCAATGTCTTAAGAAATGTATTTATGTTTCAATGTCGTAATTTGGTTTGAAATAATTACAATAGAGGGTCCCTGAGAGTTTAAAGTTCAATAATCTGTAAAATACTGCATGTACTAAGATTGAAATGTAAACTGTTCCCGTTAGAGGCATTGGAATTTAGATTTGTTTGTGAAAATCATGATGCCCAAATCTGTAGTGATGATAGATGCCATTAGCGCCCAATAAGAACATCTGGAAAGGCATGGTTAATTAGAGTAACGAACACCCCATCAGAGAAAGCCGATAAAATCTCAGTCAATGCTGAACCACACACTTCATCTGTTACAAGAGCATAACATCACAGTGGTGGACTCTCCTGTCTGCAGTCCAGATCTTTCATCAACTGAAAACATATGGTTTATCATGAAAGAGAAATGACAAAAGAAGACACTGTACATCAGATTGGGAAAGCCTTCTTCTTCCCATTTAATTTATTTTTTATATGGCTGCCACAAAATTGTACACGCAGCCCTGTCCCAACTTTTTGTTTTCAGATATCTTGTTGCAAATAAAATTGGGAAGGAGCCAAAGTTATTTAAAGGAATGGTTGAATGCCTCACTTCCGCCATGCATTTGTTGTGTGTTTTATTTGATGTAATATTACTTATTTTTATGAAATATTGTTATCAGATTTGCAACATACCTCAGTCCTTTTAAATTGACTTTTTTATGCAGTGGTTCTACCAGATCCATTTTCCTCACAAAAAAACAAAGAACATAAACATAATTTCTTCAAAAGAACACATCAGTGCACAAAATTGGTTAAAGACTGATTTGCTCCTTCTGCCCCACAGATCATATCTGTTTTGTTCTAAAATAGTCTTCTTGCACAGAGGAAAATGATTAAATACATGTGCACATTTGGCAGAATACTTTGACCATCTTGGATGTGCGTGTGAAGTTTTGGGACTCCTTGCATCGTCTGGTCCCTCACTTGTCCCAATCAGCATGCCACCTTTAGTGGGAAATGGGATACTGTGGACTTAAATCTAAACTGTATATAAACTCACAATAGTGGAACAAGAGCATTTAAATAGTCACATTTCTAGACAGTTGGCACTGCAGATGCACTTCTGTTATGGAAATTAAATCAGATGTTAATAATTTTAATCTGGAAATTGTTTTTACATGTAACAAAGACATCAAATGCTGATTTTTGTGCCACGAATATTCTTTAAAGTACCACGGCCATAATCATTTTTAAGCAAACGAAATCAGAATCAAATCAGAATGCAATGAGAAGCCAGTCAAAGCTCAAACCATGCTTCGCAAACTTTGTCAGACTACCCATTTTTGGGATTTTTGTTCAGCGTGTTTGCATTTGTCTTTTCCGTCTCAGTCTGTAAGACTGCCGCTGCGCTTATACTTTCCTGCATGAGCGACATCTACATGGGTGGCCAATACACCTGCGTGCCTCTGCAGGCTGTGTAATTAATCGAGGCACCTCCGACGCACTCCCTGGAAAGCGTGCGGAGCTGATCCTGCTCCTCCCGGCTGTGGCCAACGCGCAGCGCGAAAAGTCTCTGCCGCCGGCTGGATTCCTCTCGCTCCCCGCAACTGTTTAGCTCTTTGGGGTTTGAGAAAAAAGGGCGAATTAGGGTCTGACTGCAGCGAAAAGCTGTTTGGTTGGAGGACTCTTCGCCTGAACTTGAGGAGAGGGGGAGAGAGGGAGGGAGGGAGGGAGCTGTGCGCTCTCTTCCCGGCAGAGTGCGTCCCGCTCCACACGCGGCACGGCGCACGCTCCCCGGAGTCTCTCTGCTCGCTGGCATCGGGCAGGTTTGTCTCCTGGCACCTCCTGGATATCGCAAATGAACAGTTTGACGGACGCCGGCAGACGTTTTTTTCCAGCGCGAGCACCATCAGCGTGCGCAACAGAAAGCCCCGTTTTCCCTCTTTCCTTGTTGTCTCCACAGTTTCCTGCCCCGGTGCCTTTGGAATACGAAAACACAGCACGCTTAGCAGCCTGGGCGCGGAACTGTGGGAATCATGGAATTATGGATTAAGTTTGTATTGTTGTACAGCTGTTGTCTGGGAGCAAGTGCAGACTTCGATGGCAGGTGGGTGCACATTTTCAATGAGCGCTTCTGTGAATTGGAATAATTTTTTTAATTGTCCCAGTTCGAACATTCCACAACAAATTTGGATAATAGTATTTTTTAGAGATAACGCCTGCAACCGTGGATTTGGTGTTTGGCTTAGTTGGCTTGTATTCTCACGACAGCACTAACCCAAGTGCATCCAGGCGAGTTGTTGTGCGCCTCTGAGTGGAGGCATGTCATTGTAGTAGCCTAGATGCAGTGTTTACATTTGCAAAAAATTTCGCCAAGCGGTTCTTGTCTTGTGCAGACGTCAGGGTGATTTTAAAATGGTGTGACAGCACATAGCCTGGTGCTTCGTGTCCGAACACGAATCCCGTGAAGTGTGTGGAGACGTGCCAAACCCCAAAGAATGCACGTCTCTGGAGATTTCTATCAGGCTATAGGTGCATCAGAGTTGAGCATGAAAGAGACGGGCTGTTTGTGTTTTTTATCTTTCCAAGTATCTTTAATAAGTATCTTGACACTTGAAAAAATATGTAAAAGCATGGCTGCAATTGTTTGTTCATTTGCTTCCTGGCTTAAGGCATAAACTGGAATCAAAACCACATTCCATCTGTGATATTGGGGTGGATTTATTTAGCTTAGGAAAAGAAATGAACTGAAATTCATCCAAATTGGTGAGGGAAAAAGTTACAAAAACAAAATCATGACAGATTTCCTAAATCTCACAGTGAATGCTGCCAAATACTCAAGTTTCTTTTCTTTTTTTCAATTTTTTTTCCATAAAACTCTGTTTAAAAGACTGAGCTCAAATGCAACTCTTTCTCTCATGTTCCACATTTCCAAATAAATTAGATCATTGATATTGAATTGAAAGCGCGTGCATGCATCAGAAAGCCATTGTGTCATCTCACCTGTTAATAGTTTTTGACAGGATAGATTTTTTTGTATTTTTATTAGAGCCTTTTCTGCTCAGTTCCTGATGTGATCAAACATGTTCCAGAATAAATAATTTGGAGATCAAAGCTTTCAGTCAGGAGGAAAAAGTGAGGGAGAATTAAGAAGATGCCAAAGAATAAAGCAAGAAAACAGGAATACCTATATATAATTCACCCCCTCAACCCTTTCTTCTTCCTCTCGCATCTCATAACCTGAAGATCCGCTGTGTACCTCTGGCAGATGTTATAAAGGTTTACTGTAAGCTGGCATCTAAATGTTCCTTTTTCTTTTTTTATTCTTTTGGATCCATGTAATTTATTTGGATTAAAGCATCTGATAACTGAATAAATGTAACTTTAAGTATATTTCTTATAATTATTATTCATAATAATTGTTTTTAATATCTGTGTGAGAAGTTGTACTGATTAGGAATTTATAACTAACTTTATCCCCCTGCCATTTTGTAAAAATAATTTATTTGAACCTACTATAACTGCCGCATATTGTACATTATTAACATTCCTGCTGATGGAGTGGCCTGTCACTATGGCCATAATTTGCCCATTTTTATGGGTATAAACTTGCACTGACTTGAGTCTGCTTCAATATTAATTCATTGAGAAAATATCCCCTGAGACTGAGCACAAGCAAAAAAGCATTTATCACCTAGTCCTGCTCACTTATTGCATTTTAGACAGCATTCCTAACAGGCTTATAATGTCTGGACCTGAAGGGCCCTTCATGGCCATCAATGTCAAGATAATTTGGTTCTTCCAAAGAAGTGAGAAATATGCTTACCTGCAATGGGGCTTCTAAGATTGGACTCTTGTTATTGCCACTTTGTATTCAAGAGAAGGGCTCAAGCAAGTTTTGTGCTGTTCAGAGAAGAAAGGGGGCATACAGTAGGAGATATTTTTCCCCTGTGATGTTACTAAACTGTTAAATCAAACACAGTTAAGCAGAAATATATAATGAATTATCAGTCTACATCCAGAGCATGTGGAATGGTGCCAGGTTTCAGAGGGAAGATAAAAATTAATAATGCACACGTAGCATTAATTGGCATTACTCACTGATAGTTCCGTCGTTTAGTGTTGTGGAGCTCTGGAATAAGCAACTTAATAGGCTGCAACACCCCAAGGTTGGTTCCAAAGATAACATGTGGTGAGTGATTCTTTGTACTCCGCTCAGAGGTTGTCAAAATAGCATGTACAGAATCCTAACACGGCTCTATGGTGGTTACAGTAGACAAATGCTTGTGTGTGTTATGGATTTGCAGAAATGAAAATAATTACTGAGAGAGAACATCTACAGCTCTCTAGAAGTGGCTGACTGATTTTTTCAAATTAAAATGCTATTCCTTACACACACAGTCACAGAGAACGAATCCTCAATCAAACATTGTGCTGTACGATGGTACGCTTAATGTACAACTCTGTGGAAAGAGTTTGAAACATGCCAGACAGAGACAACTATTTCCACCACAGATGAAAGAGCACCGTGGTGCTAATCTAAGCGGAATATGAACATGCATTTGGAGGAAAGTCAGACATGTCATGCAGATCTTGTAAAAGGGATTATGAGGGTTGGATCATTTCTAACCTTGAGGATGTGGGATATTGTGACGGTGGTGGTGGGTTCATCCACCTTCCATCTGATTCAATGTCAGTGTTTATTTATTTAAGAATGGACATGCTGTTGAAAATCTAACGTATTTTTAAATCATGCTTGAGATCTGAATACCTTGTCAGAGATAAGTAGTGGTCAAAACCCTCTTTTAATGAAAGTGAAGTGTTTGGTGTTCTTTGGATGTGGCCATGTCAGCATGGGCTTAGATAAGTGGGTGGAGCTGGGTATTTGAAATATTGAGTCCTTAGCAACTTCACAGATCCATCCATCCATTTTCTGAACCGCTTATTCCCAAATAAGGTTGCAGGGGTACTGGAGACTATCCCAGTATGCAATGGACGAGAGGCAGGGTACACCCTGCACGGTCTGCCAGTCCATTGCAGGGTCACACAGAGACACACAAGGACAAACAAGACCAACCACCACGCACTCTCAAAAGAAAAATTTGGAACGTCTAGTCAACCTAACATCCAGGTTTTTGAACAGTGGGAGGAAGCCGGATTACCTGGAGAAGACCCACGCAGACACAGAGAGAACATGCAAACTCCACACAGAAAGGTCCTGGTTCCCCCGGGGCTTGAACCTAGAACCCCTCTTGCTGTGAGGCAATGGTGCTAACCACCACCGAGTCTCCAGCTTTGAATGCAAATAAGTTGCTTCCAACTCCTTTATTAAACAGAGCTGGGGCTGAGGATATCCAACAAGGAAACAAGAAAAATAGCATAGAAGAACTAAAAGTTGGGTGTCTATTCTATGAGTGTATAATACATAAATACAGTAGTTTTGAGTCTACTACAGTAGAGATGTGTTTCATCAAGGAATGCTAAAGGTTCACATGCCCTTTAATAATGATATGCTAGAAAATATTCTTCATCAATTGTAACTATTTACCACATAGATAGTTTTACAAGTGATCAAGTTACTCAAATGTTGTTCACGTCAGCTAAACAACTTGTTCAAATCTAATAACTGACTTTTTGGGGGATATTTAGAATGAATTATTTTGGCATTTAAAAAAAAAGGCATTATTTCCTAATCTAATCTTTTGGGCAGAGTAAAAGCCCTCCAGATCTGTTTACTTTTCTCCTGCTATACTGTCAGAACTTCCCAAACATAATTTCACTGCTCGTCCAAAAGGGAGACTTTGAGACACTTAGTTGGCAAACTTTGGGTCATATTCCTGTGTTGGCTTCTGCATTTATTGGAGGTCACTTCAAAATAGCACCATTTAAGTGTATACCTTCCAAGGGGTCACAGAACAATTCTTTTATTGCAACTAACAACAAAACATTTTATGGTTATGCTAGACCATGAAGGTGTTTACTCAGCAAATATGGTGCTATCTGCATTGAAAATCACTTCAAAGACTGCCTCATTTTTCACCTCCGTATAAATCTTTGCCCCAATATTTGTCAGTGCGGCCACATGGTGCTTTGTGTTAATGTAATAGTTTTGGCAGTCGGCATGCGGCTCTGGCAGCGCATGCAGCTGAGGCGGTTAATTAAAACGGCCTGACACGTTGGGACTCCGCAACCCCTTAGCCGAGCTCCACGGGTTCAAGCAAAACTCTCACCGAGGTGCTACAAATGCAGCGGTCAACATCGATGGACGTGCGTGAGGAAAGTCGGTGTCCCTGTTTTGGTAGGGGTCAGGGACAGGAGACTGATTAGATCAACATGGCTGTGAACGCAGATGTACACCTCCATGGTTTCTGTACTCTGTGGGCGATAGACGTATGGCTCTTCACTGTCAAAGAAGAGAGATTAGCCAGCTCTGTTTCCATTAGTGACTAAATGGAAAGATGATGGAATCGACATTGTGGATATCAACCTTTCAGGCTTTTATTGAAGAGCATTGTCTTTTAGTCTGTACTTGAGAAGAGGTGTCACACTGCATGCATGAAGGGTAATAATTATCTGCTCGAGTTCTCTCAAGGCTTTAGAGCAATTTAGGATTATTATTCAGGGTTTCAGGGTAATAAATAGAGGTATTATGCTCACATCCATTTGATATGCTTGCTCTTCATTCAGTGCTATATCACTCAGGACAAGCTGATCTTCTTTGTCGTGCTGCGTCTACACAGCTCCCATTGTTGGTTGTGATCACAAAGTTGTAATTTTCATTCCGTGAATGTCCTAAAGAATGCATATGCAATGCTCTCAGAGTGTTGCTGTGTTGAAACATTGAGATGGTGAGTTTTATTAAACCCTGAGCTTAAAGTTCACACTGTTTTTAGGTGAACCGGTAACTTGATTGTAATCATGCAGTATGTGATTCCATATTCATGTTTAATCACACATGTGTGTGGAATAAAGCATGGGTTGGAAATAGCTGATTTAATAATCCAGAGCCGGTTGCATTTGATTTCACTTATCCTGCATCCAGGCATTCAAACTCTGTTCTTTCATTCAAATAAAACTCTTTTTAGATTCAGGACCTTGTGTAAAATGTTCTTAAGTTCAGCTTTCATTGACCTATAGCTCTAGTGGTTCTTGAGATGCCTGAGTGTAGTTCAAGGCGGGACCTTCTTTCACCATTGATCTACTTGTATTCCAACCGATGCTTTTGGTGAAAGGAATAAAGAAAGAAGGAGCCCAATATGACATATTTAAGCTGATTGCTTTGAATATTTTTTATCCACAAGGAAAATCCTGTAAGTAATAACCTGCATCTCATCTCACAGTTTTTTCCACATCTTTTACAGCATCATGAATGTGTAAAGAAGTTAAATTATCTTTTGTATGTTTTATGTATTTTTATGGGCTACTCTATGGTTCTGTTCTTTCCTTTTTTTTCCCGTAACACACTTTCACACGCCGATGTGTGCAACTGAGGCACCGTGGCTTTAGTTTCTTGCCCATGGACAAATCAACATGTGGTCTGGGTTGGCTGGGAATCTAACCGCCATCCTTTAGAACCAACTCCTGTGGTAAACTATGGTTTAGAATTAAAGCAACGGTACAGTGATGAAAAACTATTGACATTCATGGCGTCCCTGCAGCTGCATGAGAGGCTTTCTATTGGGACTCATTAGTTGATATAATTGCTCCATAATCTGCAAGCAAATATGAGATAAGTGGGTTATAGAGGAACAGGTGTACCCAAGTGTCATAAGCTCTTCTTACTTGATATCCTCACGTATCCTGGGTGGTGATTAACTTCCGTGAAAGTAATGATAGGAGTTTTCAAAACAACCTGTTTAATTTCCCCCATATCTAAATGCCTCAGAGGTGTGTCAGCAGCCTCTACACCGTTTACAGGAAGGGACAGTGCATCCCCATGCCCGTCCTGATATGTTTGGGGTAATCTCAATTTAGCTTTTATCTAGGTAAATCACATTGTTCTCCTTCCCTTTTCAATTTACTCTTGCTTACTTTCAAATAAATTAGGCCTTTTTGATACTTTTTCCAAACAACATTTTTCTTTTTTTCTCCTCCAGTGTTTTTGACGGACTGTCTCCCTCCTTGACAGGCAGAAGGCAAACATTTTCCCTGGATCTGCCACTCTCACTTAGCATCCATCTTTTTTTTTCTTCTTTCCAATGAGGTGATTGGCAGCGAGGGCACGCATTAGCATTTCCTCATCTTGGCATTGAGATACAAACAGGCAGGGATAGCGGCAAAGAATGTGCCTTGAATACTGAGCGAAAACCTCCCTTTCTCAGAGAGGCACAAAAGAAAGAATCTTTTTGTTTCAAAAGAACGCCTTCTGTGTTCTTTGTAGCATCAGAGAGTTCTAAAATGTGCTCTACATCTCATGAAATGACACTGTAATAATCTGTAATGAACAACATTTTCTAAATGACTTCTGGTCTTCCCACCGATTCATTTATTTGCCAAATTTTAGGTAACATCTTCGAGCTCAGCTTTCAAAGTATGCAGCTTGGATTTCATCAGTGTCCTTAAATGGAGAAATTCCCTCACTCTGTTCTGTCCAAAAATAAGTGGTAGGCCTTGATAAAAAGGTAATCCCAATGTAGGATGTGCCAAGGAGCTATTTCTCGCTCTGTGGAGGATAGAACATGGTGTAACAAAAACATCTAAGAACAGCAATAACATGGCTGAGAAACGACTCTGCTTGGGAAATAACCTGAAGCTTTGTAACACTAAAACCTGCCCAGGGTCTGTGGCAAAGATAATATCTTCAGCTGTCATGAAATGGTCAATAGAGGAAAATGGTGTATTTTCAAGGTAAAAATTAAAAAGTTAATAGTACTTATCATGGTAGGGATATGGAGTGTGCCTGGTGAAGCTAAAGATCCCGTTAAATGGAGCCTGACAAGCTTTCAAAACAGATCTCCAGTTTGACATTACACTAACTAATATGATCAGATGTGCTATCGCCTTTATTTCCGCAGTGCAATGGTAATCTGCCACAGTGAACTAGTCAGAAAGCCTTACAGCTCCATTTTGACCATATTTTACTATTCATATACAGCAATTTCAGTTACTGGTTAGTTTTTACTTCATTAATCAGTGATGTATAATGTTCAATATTTCCCTCTGAAATGCCGAAAGACAGAAAAAGAAAGTAGCATCAAACGAGAATAATCTATAGCATTTTTCAGTTTCAAGTTCAGAACGTGAGCAATTTTTTTTCTGTTCTATTACGACACAGATGCTGTTATGATTGGACTTTATTCATGCAAAAAAAAAAAGCTGCAATCCATTTCTGGAAAAATGTTGTTGCTCTTTGTGACTGGAAGCAGGAAAACGACAGATAGGCTTTGAAGCCCCTGTCCAAACAACTCATTAAAAGGACCCCTGCTTTTCATTAAGACGGTTTAATTGTCTGATGGCTAATTATGTCATCCACTCACAGGTGGCCTCGACAGATGGCGTCCTCCAATGGCCTGTGTCGGTATGGGGCCAGGGTGGACTGCTGCTGGGGATGGACGCGTCACACCTGGGGTCACTGCCAGCGTGAGTGCCCCCGTGCTTGCTGCTGCTGGTGGTGGCGCAAACGGGACTAACAAGGTTGCAAGGTTTCAAGCTGGGGTCAAAGATGCCATTAAACTAGAGTTATGCTGCAAGGGAGGCACACAAATTTGTCCCGCATGCATACTGTCACAATAGAAACACGTTCAGTGAATGGAGCACCGCACCTGGTCCAGTCTTTGAGGAGATTGATGGTAATGGCTGGTTGGACCGGCATGCCACCTGACTTTTATATTCACTCTGCAGGTGGCCATAGAGAGGGAGAGAAAATAGCTGCAGGTGGACACGATCGAGGATAAACAGCATCTGGTTAAAGTTTACAACTCACCAAAAAGGAGCCATCTAGCTGTGTAAAAAAGCTGTTAAGCTAAGAAAAAAAAAAAGAAAAACACTGAGTTCATAGTGTTGTCAGGTTTAGATACTTAGACTCATTAGGAGATGTAACAAACACTTAAACTTAGACTCATTAGGAGATGTAACAAACACTTAAAGGATTCAGGGGATGTGTCTTGTTGTTACTTTGCAATGCATGCCACATGCCTAATGCATATATACACTGCTAAGTTCCTCTGCACTCCTGTAACATTACCCAGGGAGGTGTGAATAACCTAATTGGCTTCGGATCTGGCTTGCTGCCTGACAAATATCAGATCTTTTGCATGGCTTAGAGGCTGGAATAGTTGCTTTGCATTGAGCATTTATTAAATAAAGGGGGCACTGGGCGACAAAGGCCTTTTCCAGCATGTGAATTTACCATCCTGCAATTTAAAAACACAGGCAGATGAAAATGCTGAATAACACTGGCTGTTACCGTCATATGTGTTTGCTTAGCTGGAGTTATATATGTTATTAGGATTCTTTACAGATGTTTTGTTTTGCTAATGATTGGTAATCTCTGCTTATAGAATGAGGGCTGCTAGTGATAAATTTAATCTTATTTACAGTACTTGGGAGTGCAGCTTATATTTGAGACACAAAGAAACGTACTAATTGAACATCAAATGACCATCAATGTAAATATTAGTTATCGGCTAATCAGGATGTGACCGAAACAAAGTACTAAGTTCCAGTATTCATATTCAGCTTAGTCTGAAAATGACTTATCACAGCAGTTGCATTTCAACTCAGGACCAACAAACAAACAAATCATCTGCTTACTGAAAAATGTCTCACGTTTGTTCACACACGGGTCTCTTCCTGTTCTTGAATATATTTAGGTAAAATGAGGAAAAAGCCTCACCAACTTCACTTTTTCCCCTTTAAATGAGTACACTCGTCTGTTTAATGGCATGACTAGCTATTATTTGGAATGACATAAAATCTCCTGGTTTTCAGAACACAGAGAAGGAAATATGGAGTAGGGCAAAACAAGTTCTGGTTGTTAAGTTCCTGCGATGGAAAACGCCTTTAATGGTTCATAAGTCCACTTTTGGATTCTCACAACATAACATACTGAGGGACTCATCTATATTAATCCACTCACGATTTCAGTCTTTTGTTTTTCATTGCTTAAATTTACCATGTTTTTTTTATTTGTGTTTTTAGGTGCTGACCTCATCCTGCCATTCTGTAGCTGATCTTGTTTTATTCAAGCCATTGTGTTTTGTTTATTTTCAGGTGGAAAACATGCCACACATTGCTTATTTGGGTCCAAACTTTATTCCAAAATATAGCTCAAATTTGCCTGGTCCAGCGCCTATTTTACACTTCAGTTAGATGTAATAGTGTAAGAGTGCAATTTTTACTTGGTCTTGGAGTGTATGTCTGATTCAGATTTTTTTTTGTTGAGGACAAAAAGAGTATTACTGGAGTTCATGACTCCAGATTGACTTGAGTGACCTCAAGTGTTTATCAGGCAAATCTGCTTTTTATCCTCTTTCTTGCCTGATGTCTCTTTGAAAACAAAATATGATAATTTTATTCCAACATAAACACTCAGGGCAAGAAAAACAAGCTATGCTAATGGTTTTTTTTGGGGTGTTGTAAAACTACAGACTCCGTACTCAGCAGTAGTCCTGGCAGGAGTCGGCCATCTCAGAGCCCGATGTCTCCCAGTTCATCTGGACTGGGCTCTCTGCCTTTGCAGCTTCCCAGGCTCACAAAACTCAGGCTAGAATAGTTCAGTTCTTTGTCTGACGATCCAAGACCAACATAACTTTATTATTTCAGCAGTTTAGGTGAGGTGCAAAAAAAGACCGTGATCGCATATTCAAAACCCAAATGTAGATTCAATTTGTGGCCGCACATAATGCATTTGTTGGAAGCAGAGAAATCTCTGTGCTGCCCGTAGACATTCACGATTTAGGTGCATCAGGAGTGACATTTCTTTAATAATTGATCAAGAGAATGTTTGCATCAGTCACTTGATCAGCCAGACAGCAGTGTGTGAGCTTGTTTTTCTTTTTTGGATCTGTAGTCCCACGTGTTTCATGTTGCAGTCATTTTCTTTAGCTTAATCACAAAATTCCACTTTTTTTTTCTCTACGGTGAGTTAAATCACTCAGTGAGTGCTCGGCTTAATGCTTACAAATGCTCCTCGCAGGGCACAACTCAAATCAATTGACTCACAATCAGCATTCCATCAAGTCAGTAAGGTGCTGATTTAAACCTTAAAAGAGTCTGATGGAAGGGATTGGAGAGAAGGCGAGTGTAATCATGGCCGTGTGTGTACCTTCGCCTGCATGTGTGTGAGGGGATGCAGCTATCACGGATCCCAGGTCTTGGTAAACTTTAGTGAAGAAAAAGAGATTAGATTGGAGCCACAGGACTGTGGTGACATGCCAAACAGCACAGGGGATCTTTTTGTGCTACTTTTTACAAAGAAAAAACCTCATAGATCAAGCCTGGTATTTTCATTCTCCCAGAGTTGTGTGTGATGGAGAGAGGGAACTAAAAGTAAAAATCCTTGAATCAAAATGGTTTAGATTTTCAAAGTGGAAAGACGATTGCAGCTGGAATGTATTGTACAGTCAAGCTCCACTGATAGTATTCTGACAGGCTATCAAGAGGCTTTTCAAGTTATACTTGAAGCTATTTTCTAACCGCATGCCATCAAGCCTTTTAAATGTTACAGAAGACATTTTAACATTTGCATAGTGAAGTGCATTTAACAGAATGAAAATAACAAGATTCACTTAATAATCAGGCTACGTACTGAGCAAAATAATTGGCAATAAATGCTTTAGTTCTGCCTGTATTACTGACATCTGCTGGAACAAATTAGGCTAATAAGATTATGAATAGCTCCCCAGTATACAGGTATATTCATTCACTTATCACATCACCATTGATAAATATTTTTAGTCTTGTATGAAGTGAGGTCATGGGTGGTTGAAACATCGCTTTTCTTTATAAAACAAATATATTTTCATCTTTATGACTATTTGAACTATTCCGCTGTCTTAGCAGAGGCTCAGATTTCATCCCTCGTTTTTCTGCATTTTGGCACGAGACAGTTTTTAGGTTATTCTGATCACTGAGATGATATAAGGTTTTCAATTCCAAGAATTTACAAAAGAAATCTTATATGTTATCAGAATGTGGAGTAACACCTTTTCAGGCTACACATTGCATTAAGATGAAATATGCTGTTTCTCACAGTTTGAGAAACTTCCAGACTTCATTCAAATTCTCTTTTTCAGCTCCTGATGAAATTTCCCAGATGATGAAAAGCTGTGACCTTTAGGACCTTTTGTTGCTCTCTTTTGCTTTGTTTGGCGTTGCTCGACTGAAACCGTGTTAATTAGCATGTAGCTCTATCACAAAGGGCTTATTGTACTTATGGGCAAATCTTTTTTTTTATTTTAAAGGCTTTACAATTGTTTATAGTTTCATTATTAAAACAATAGTTTCATTATTATGGACTTATTTAGACGATTGGTATTTTGAGGTTACAAGTTCAAGTAGCCTACTCATGTGATGTAGCAGATAGAAAATACCCAATATACCTTTGAATTCTGCTGAAAGTCTAGAAGTACAACAGCCACTTGTAGGACGCTGATATAACTCTGTTTTTCTTTTTGGCAATGTAAGTGAAAATTGCCTACAAGAGAAAGTTAAATTCACACCGTCAGTTTATTAAACCTTAAAAAGAGACATATGCTGACATTCATCCCTATTTTCACACTTTAAAAGCCTGTAATATTACACTTCTCATAATACATTCTCTCTATTTCTACCTAATAAACAGACTCAACTTCAAAACACTATTGGAAAATTCATATTTTGTCCTCACACAGAAGTATTTCAGAAAGATGAACTGTCCTAGAGAAAAAGCTTTTTTAGTGTTTACAGGAGTTGAGTTCTGCATTATTATGTTTATCAGAATTCCCATGCCTATTAGACTTGACATTATTTGCAATTTACATATATTTACAAGGCCTGTAACTTGATGTCTCAATATTTTCTCACCAGATTTGAGAAATGTTTGACAAAGCTGTATTGATTTTCCACTGCATTGTGGATAAATTGGGTTGAATTTCATATCCATATTGAATAGATCACACATTATAATTTCCCCAGAGGTCCTGGCAGGTTTTAAAGACTCACTGAGACTGGGATTTAGTTTGATTGAGAGCAGTCTTTGTTTCTTCAGATGCTGTGGACAGGATTAAGGCAAGACTTTTGAATTGGTAATGTGAGCTAACAAGAGAGTGATGAAAAGAGAAAAGTGAAACCTCAGATTAGATAATTCACTTTATCATGTCTGTCTGTGTGGTTTCTTGTCTACCCCACTGACTTTTGTTATCACGGCCCAGCTTCTAAAGGGGCGTCTTTTCATACGTTTGAAGCCTATTTGATAAAAAGATGATAGGTTATTCCTTTGTAGAACACCAACTCCTGTTAGCCTGCACTCATGGCTCTACAGCATCAGCCAAAAATAATCTGTTAAACTGAGGCTCATCACACAGTTTGTTAATAGTTTAATTTTGCGTCACCCTTAGCAAGGAATTTACAAATTTGTCCGTATTGTGCATGCCAAAAGGTTCATTAAATTTTGATTAACTCAAATCTAACTCAGTTTCAGAACACTGCAACGAGAACATGATTAATGGGGGGGAAAAGAGAACCTCCCTGGAGGCAGTTGCTGTAATCTTCACTTTTCACATCCTCGTCATTTTAATTAGTGGTAAAATTTTAACTCACCCATTGTCTCGAGACAACATGGAACACGAGGGACTCTAGGAAATTTAGCTCTTTGTGCATGTGTGTTTTTTCTCCCAAGAATGTTTGCTTGCCAAATTGACCAGGCTGTGCTCTCCAACATCATGTTTGTGTTTTTTGTTTTCTCACAAGGACTAAACAATGCCCCCAACCTTTGTTTGTATGGCTACTTTGTCTTGCAGCTCTCTTCGCCTTAACTCACAGAGTAGTCGGGATAAGGTGCCAACCCCAAGGTTAGCTCCACATGTTTCTTGAAATAATCTTACTAGACATGTTCTTCTGAGGGCACATCCCCTGAATCCAGGGCACACTCACTTATTTATAGAGCCCGCCCCTTGCAGGACCGACTAACACCTCACACCCTTTGGCACCAGCCAGCATTTTTCCTCTGGCCTCACATATATGTAAATAGGTTGCACTCTGCAGCCCAAATTTCTCTTCAAGCTGTGTCTTACATGAATTATGCTGAGTTTCTTTAGTGACTGATTAATATTCAACAGCCCTTCTGGTCACCCCTTAGGAATATTAATCAGACCCTTGAAGCAGAACCCCATGCTGTTTTTTAATTAATATCTCCATGCAGTATTTATAGGGCGGTGACGCTGAACACGTTTGTCGTGAACTTATGTGTCAGTATAATGATAATCATTTTGCAGTTCTGTGCATGAATAATAAAATGGTCTGATTTTGGTTTATAGTTGATCAGATTATATGATATAGTTATTCTCTTGATTTCAGATTACCTCATCGGCATAACGGTTTTAATCAATAGGTATTTAAATTGAAAAACAAAAGTTTTTGTGGGCCCATATTGAAATAATAACAACTACAAGTAGCCAGTACGTAATAAAATATATTTTTTTCTACAGTGTTAAATTATTTGTTGGTAAGCATCTTTCTAAAGTTGCATAAAACAAAATTAATCAGGTATCCATGTAATCCATAGGTACGTGATTACCATCAGGATCGATCACTGAAACCAGCTGATCTCTGTCCATAAGATGTGCTGATGAAGATAAAGTGTTTCATCAGCTGACATGTTCTGCTGGTGTTTATGGAACAAGGATCATAGATGCTATGTTTGGCCTTCCAGTTGGTCTGGCCATTTTTAGTCCTCCATTTCCTTTGCTGCGTTTAATGAGCGGTGAATGTTTCCCTGATCTCTCTGCCAGACCAAAAGCTTAAAATCAATCACAAAGGCAAAAGCCCCTGGCACTTGACCATGATACTCAAAATAAAATCCTTCTCCATGCAAGAAAGAACAAAAAAGCACTTTACTGGGTCTGTTATTTTATGAACAAATCATATACTTTTATTTCCTTTAATTTGTGGACAAGGCCAAATTTGATGGACCTCTGCTTTCTGAAAAGCTCTTTTAATCGCTTCTAACAAATTGGAAATTTTTCATTTGTGATGGCAAGCTTTGAATGCTCTGTGTATTAACAACCTGGTTTATATCACAGGCCACCAAAGTGGGGTAACAATGCTCTCATTCTGTTTGATAAAAAGCTTAATAAAGCTAAAGAAGTCTCAAGATGTTATCAATCCAGGTGAAGGATTCATCCCAGACCTCTGTGCCTCCTTTGAATTAAGTTTAAACAATGTTACAGTGTATCTTTTTAAGCTCTTTTTGATGCCCTCTGACAAAAGTAGCCTGTGCTAATAGCTTCTGCATAGTCACACGATTTATGACTATCACCACACAGTCAAATGATGATAGTTTGACTCACTGAAACATAGATGAAAACTAAAAATGAAATGAAAAATTTAAAAAGAACATCTTTAAAACATTGCCTCTTCTATTAGATCAAAGAGTAGCTTTGATGAGTTACACTTTTGACACAATTGAGCAAAAATGTTAAAAATGTCCGGAAATAAACAGACTGACAGCGGAAAAGTGCAAATGAAACATAGTTTATACTGTTTGAACAAGATTACTGTTTTTTCACAAGGCATACTCTGATAAAATAAACTTATTTTAAAAAAATGCAGGGTCATCCATCCAAAAAGAGGCAACACATAGGTACAAAAAAGCTGCAGTCATATGGTGATATCAAAGTCACAGATTTCGTCATCACAGAATTCCCAAACTAAATACCAGAATGATGTTACCCATGACCAAACAAGAACCGTAGTCTTCTTCAGCTTGATTAATTGCTTGCAAGTCCCCTTTGTGTCACAGTACATTGGCTCCAAATCCAAAATGGTAACAAAATGGTGACAGAGGCACTTAATTGGGCCCCTCAAATGCATGGTTCATAACCCTGTATCCTCATTTAATATGCAACCTGTATCTTTGGTGTGAAGTACTCTTTTAAGAACTGAAAATGCCTTTAACCAAACTTAAATTTCCCTCTTGATTCCCCTCTATTCTTTGGAAGTCTAACAATATAGCTAAATCCACAACTCTATTTGATATGAGGTTTAAAACACACATCAGCCCTTTCTGTACTGGCTGGTGCTATAAAAATCATCTTTTTATAGGTATTCTTGTGATTTAAAGAAACCTGAACTCTATTTGATATGAGGTTTAGAACACACATCAGCCCTTTCTGTACTGGCTGGTGCTATAAAAATCATCTTTTTCTAGGTATTCTTGTGATTTAAAGAAATCTGAACACACGTTAAAATGTACTGGTCCACCACAGTGAGAATTAAATCCTCTGATGGCTTCCGTTTATGACATAATTAATGGAGCTTTTAATGAAAATTAGTACCAATTGGCTTTATCAGACATGCTTAGCTCTAAGCTGCAGTCAGCAGTCAGATAAGCAGGACAAGCCTCCAGCAACTGAGACAGAACTGAGTAAGTGATGCTCTACTACTTCATTTTCATACAGACTCCAATTATCACCATCCACACACATGTAAGATCTGCAGGGCAGCTCTTTATGGAGAAATTAATTAGAAGCTACTGTTTTGGTTGGACTAATTGTGTCATTTTCAGTCTTAGAGGGAGATATCCACCCCGGCAATGACTGATAGTTGATAATTAATGTAATTTTTAACAGTTAAAAAGCAGAACATTTTAACTTTGGCATTAGAAAGTCAACTTTTAATTTAGGTCATACAGTGTGAAATTACTCGATTTCAATAAGCTAAAAAAAACAACTTTCCGAGACTTGAAATAGCTTAGAGAGAGAAAAACTATTTTATCTAAAGCATTTAACTGAGAAATGGCTTTACAAATCTATTTGTCAATTATGAAATGTCAATTATGAACACAGGAACAAACAGCACATTTCCTATGTGAATGAGGCGTCATTATTCTTGCAACGTGGAGTAAACAGATGATCTCCAGCCAAGGGGTTATTAAAGTAGAGAGGCTGCAGGATTAAGTGCTTTGTCATTCTGATCGGCTACAAGTTCTCCGCCACGGTGCTGCACTGATCTGTGTCTTCCTCTTTGAATCCTCCCTGAACAGCTGTGTGCCAGCCTGCCTGTAAGCATGGAGAATGCGTTGGACCCAATAAGTGCAAGTGCAATCCCGGCTTCACCGGCAAGACCTGCAATCAAGGTGAGCTCTTTCAAGGAACATTTAGACACCCTGATGACTCCAGTGTGACTTTTCAACTGGTTGATATGTAACAGGACACTGAGAGGAAACAAATACCACAAAGTAAACAGAAAGGTCAGAATGCTATTCACCCCTCTAAGCAACACAGAGTGCTGCTGACATGCACATTTTTCACTAGAAAAAAAAGAGAGAGGGAGGACCGTGGCCCTGAGCAACAGCAGGGTAATCATTGTGTATTGTGGCCAGATCTCCTCTGCACAACTCTGGCGTATTGGAGCTGCAGCTGGTGCCAAAGCTGGTTTGCCATGAGTTGACTAGTGAGGTGCCTTAAGCACAGGGGAGGAGGTGGAGAGAGAGAGTGCTGATTCAGCTCGCATGGAAATAAGAGCAGGGTGTGTTGATTGATCCCAGGAGTGCATCCTCTCCTGAGAAGATAATGTCTCAATTACTAATCCAAGACAACTTGGCCAGGATAAGCGCAACAGATGTTATTTAAAGTGTCATCTCCTGTGTGTGTGCGTGTGTGTGTGTGTGTGTGTGGGTGTGTGAGCTGGGCGTTTGAGCATTGGCAGTTCGGACATGTTGAAAAGCATTAAAGCTCCCCAGTTAGCTGTGCGTTGGTGTGCATCCAAGCAGCTTGGAAATACCTGCGGAATTCACGCCCTAAGACAGGAATAGGATAGTGTGTAATTAAAAGCAAGGGAGAGGGAGGAGGGGGAGGTTAAAATCCTTTCCGGAATGTTCTAAATGACTCATCGTGCATTTCTAGGCCATAGGTGGCTCCTGTTTGCTACTTTGTTTTACTTTGTCTTAATCTGCATCAAGGAGATGAGAGAAAGGATCTCCATCAAATTACCAGATCAAACTAACTTTGCTGCCAAACATTCCAACAGGATTGTCCATTAAGTTTGACCACCTTTTCAGGAAGCTCCGGACGTTTTACAGACATTGAAGTTGGCCTGCTATTTGGATGGTGACCATTTAGCTTTTATAGATGGTGATAGACCCTGTGTCTCTTTGGAGCAGCCCCCAAGCCAAATTCCTTATGCAGGGACCAGAGATTGGATTTTCTAATTCAAATGCTTCTGTTGACCATTGATTTGTACTTTATCATCAATGTGCCAGCTGGGCAATGTTTAAAAGCGTTCTAATATCTCATCCAACTGCTGCATTAATCTTGGGTAGACAACAGGAGGAGGGAAATAAGTTACCCAGAGCTGCTTTTCCAACCCAGATACTGATACAGGTCAAATTGTCACACTAGTAAACTTTAAATCAGTCTACAGTCTGTAAAAGCATAAATGAGGAGCTGTGTCCTCCCAAAAGCTCAATGATAACTGAGTCAGTACTTATTAGAATTCACTCTTATGCTAACTTTGAAACTTAGTGGCTTTGTATTATTAAAACTTTAAAAAGAACAGTCATTGAAAGACTAAACAATGAAAAACATTATTGAGGCAAAGCATACACATGTCAAGACAAAGCCTACAAAAGTAAATCAATTTCATTATGTATGTAAAAACAAAGCCTACCCACGAAGGTAAAAAGCCCTCTTGAAACTTTTTTTTTGTCTTTTTTTTTTGAGTTGACAGCAGAATGACTCCAAAAGAAACTGTCCATCAATAGACACACACAAAACCATTCAATGAGCTTTCCCAACACACAGCCAAATTTTAAAAAATTAAAAATTAATTTAAAAAATGGTATGAAAAGGATTTGCTATTTTTATTTCCCCAAGACCTGATAAGTGTCAGATGTAGTACCAGGGAAACATGAAGTCTGGTAGCAGTTATAGTACAAAGCTTTTAATTTGCTTATTGACAGTTATAGAAATTAGCACCATTTGAGGGTTAAAACCTTAAAAGAAATATATTAATTAAATTTTTAACAAGTTGATGCAATTTCCTGAGGTCGGAGGGGTTTTACATGACCCACATAACTCTGCCCCACTCCTCTCTTTTGCAGGATCTGAAATAATCTTTAGCTTGGTAGAAATAAACCTTTAAGCTGTTGTTATAGATTTCCTTTTAAGGTATTACACCGTGGCAAGCGATGCTTTTTTAAGCCAGGGCTTCACAGCGAAACAATGGCTGTTAGCTTTGATCGTTTTCAGAACACATCCTAATGAAAAATTGCTTATACAGACTCTTTTTAAGGAATGTCTGTTGGTGGTGGAACATTAATTCCAGAACCAATAAAAAGTCAGATAATCTAGTTGGTTTATTATGTATAAAGAAAAAAAAATCTTTCTTATGGGAACTGTGTAAATTATAGCTAGATAAAACACTTGTTCTTCTTGTTCCATGGTGGAGATGTGGACAGATTTGTCGCCTTTGGGGTGTTCTGATGAACATACTTGTTGAATACAACAAAAACATGCTGTAAGAGCTGATGTTTACAAGTGTACTGCACATTTCTTCTGACCCGGAGTTATATATTTTCTTCTATCAAACTTTTATGAGTCAAAACGAGAGATTTATTTTTTTTGCCTCAACATCTAACACACTCAAATTTCAGTGGCATCTCCTTTCACCTTCAGAATGATTTACCTTAAGTGGGTAATTTTCATCCCGTGCAGCCCTTGTACAGAAAATCTCATTCTCCGCTAAATGGATCACTTTTTGAAGGAATGTGATTATTTTCATTCTTAAATTAACAGCTGCCCTGCTGTCAAGAATAATAACCACAGCTTCCAGAAGATCTATCAAATTGAGGAGGTTCTTCATCCCTGGTGCTCAGGAGAATTGTTTCTGTGGCACACTGTTGCGCGGATAGATGGACATGCTGCTGCAGCATAAATAAACTCATTATAGGGATAATCTGAGTAACGGTTTGGCAGCACACTCGCCCTGCTGAACCCATCGTTTTAATAAGATGATTATTCCATGCAGGTGGATTTAATTAGGTGTAGCTGACCTGATGTTAAGACACTATTAAAAAGCTTTCGCTGGAGGAATAGTGTCTCCGAAATCAAAGGCAATACAGCTCCTCGGCCTTTCCACCAGACATATGATTAATACAGCTGGATGTATGTCAGACTGGAGCTGGTGTTGACACACATCCACAAATGTATGTCCGTATCTGTTTTTAGAATATGACCCACTATCTGGATGTTTCACTTCTTTGTCTTTTTGGAAGTTTGTTGGTTTAGAAACGGATCCCTCTCTGTTACTGTTTTTCTTCCTGGCTGTCTGCTGTTAACAGCTGCAAGCATTTAAGTATTACAGTATTACATGCTTGTCATAATGTGTATTTTCTTTCAGTTATCATGTAATTGCTAAAAATGGGCTGTATCTGAACCTTTCAAACAAGGTCACAGAAGGGACATCATGCAGGATGTGAATTCTCTCGATTGTACCTGCAGAAACTGTCATTTGTTTTGGTAGAAGTTCAACCTTCATTCTCAGTGAGACTTAGATGCTGGGAAAGTGTTTTCATTCATTATTGTTTGTTTTTGTTTTTTTCAAATTCTTCATCCACATGAACCAAAGGGTTGAGATGACATTTTCTGTAGAAATTAATGAGAAAAAGAGAGACCTCCATGGCTCAACATATGTAGGAGTTATGCAGTATGATCCAGTAAAAAACTGACTGAACAGTTAGGTGTCACCTGGGTATGCACCAGACCCCAGAAAATGCTGGTTCCTGGATGTTCAGGGTTTCTTCTCCAATCAGATCAACATCCTGCTATTCTTTTAACCAAGATGTGACCAAGAGTAGGCCTAAATAGAATATGTATACTGGAGAGTATTCCGATCAAGCAGCTTTGTGTCATTCTTACTTGTAATATTAAGAGTATATGATTAGAACTTTCTCACCTAACATTAGGTGCTGTTAGCTTTATGCCAAAGGAGTTGCATGACCAATAAATAGTTAGTTCATAATGGGATGGGCTTAAATTCCTGAGGCTGGAGTGTTTGTAGACCAGGAACGATTCGTGTCTTTACATGGTGACTCCTGTCTCACTTTGAGAGTCCAGGCACAAATCAAGCAGAGCCCTCTGGATCTGTGAGATACTGTAATTTTCTCTGATCCTTTTTCACCCTTGTAAAGAAAGAGGAATACAGACAAGAGGAGAGGGCAGCCGAAGCGGTGACAAAAATACACTTTTGCAGTATATGCCATGTGTCCTCAATTTTTTTCTGACTTAACAGACTAATTCAGCTCCAGTCTAATTCCCACAAGTGTAATCCTCTTTGCTGCACAATGTTCCCCTTTACTTTCCAAGAATCTGGTGTGGTGAGGTATTTTAATCCATGGGTTGGTGCTTTTCAATGTCCCTTTATCTGTCCCTCTCTTTTCTCCACACTTATTCTTCACCCCTTCACCACTCTATGTTAATCAACCATCCAACACACCAACCCCTCCCATCACCCATCATCCCCTCTGACCCATTTTCTTTTGTTTAAAGAAGAGGAGCTGGACTATTTAACCCCACCACTGTGGGCCAGTCACCTTCCAATCTTTCTTCCCGTGGACCATCAGCCAGTGGGAATGGTGACGGAGGGTGAGATTCTTCGATCGCCCCCCCCCCCCTCAGCGCTTCCCTTCTTCACCTTGGCACCATGCATGGTGTGGCCTGTGCACCCGAGGAGGGGTGAATGTCACTCTCTGCCATTTTCTGGCTGCTTTCTGTCATCACGGTAGATGAGGTGCCACCCACGAGCAGCTTTTCAGTCAAAATGCCAGCATGAACGCCGAGCATGTGATATTTTCACCAGTCCACAGCCTCCTTACTTTCCGTCCTTCTCTACCCTTTAAAAAAGGTTTTCAGTACAGAGGAGCCCTCTGAATGTTTTTCTTGTTTTCGTTGCCTTCTTTTTTTCATTTAGCGCTTCAGTTTTCATCCCCAGTATCAACAAGTCTCTCTTTCCCTTTAAGGCATCTTATAAAGGTTCACAGAAGTCAAGACTCCACCAATGCAGTTCGAACGAGGCCTCCAGTTTCAGCCGGGGTCAGGGTCTTTAAAGACAAGCAAATCCCCGAGAAAGCACGTCCAGCTAATCTCTCCGTCAGTGATAGAGTCGTGTCAGGAATGTAGTATTGCATACCTCAGTGGAGCTGACCCAATAAATCACTCCACTTTGCATCACTTTAGATATGTCTCAGCAGTTCATTTACCGTACAGTGAACACCCCAGAGGGACTTTTTTATAGGTTTCTACTCCCGGGGCCTTTCGAAAAGTCAATTGGTGGTCATATCTGTTTGTTATCACCCAGTCTTTCCATCCATCTGTGCCCTGTCTGTATTATCTATCCCCTCTCTGTCTGTCCTCCCTCTGTCTCTTTTATTTCATAGATGAGAGCAGGGCTGTGTCTTGTGTCTGGCTTGTGCTGATGCTCATGTATTTTCCACTCTCTGAGAATGTGACAATTTCAATGATCCCTCATTTACATTTCTGAGCAGTGCAACAGGCAAGTGGTAACCTGTTTCTCTGCCTTCTTGACAGTGGACAGTGTTGCTATGGTTTTCTGTAATTGAAATAGTTTGGCGTTTTTTAATGTTTGTTTTGAACAGAAAATTGACATTTTTAATTAAGAAGTGACTGAAGGGTCATGTAAGCATGTATTGTAAATTTGAGTGTAGGTGTGAATGTTATGGGAAAATCATTAATTAAGATGTTTTAAAGGAAGGAAAATGTATACATTAATCCAGTAAAAAAATCCCTTCAACAGGATTTAAGAAATAAATATATGAATGAAGAGCTGACTCATCAACAAGTATCCAAATATCAGGAAAGAGGCAATAAGACATGTTCTATATTTGTCATGCAGTTTCAGTATTCCTAATGTTGTGACTCGTAAAGTACAAACAAGTCTGGATTTGCTTTTTAAATGATTTACTTATGTATAAGTATAAATCATGATAATAATCCTGTGGCCAATCTACTTGCAACACAAAAATGCAGTGTTTTATCTCACTGTCCAGATGTCTACTCCTTGTTGTCCCTTTGTATGAAGTCGGTGAAAGTAACACTATAGATATTTCATACAGTGCTCGGTTGTAACAGCAGCATGGACAAACTGACCTCTGTATATCCTCGAGAATTTATAGTCACGGAACATGACTGTAAGACTTCTGGCGCTTGGTTTAACAGGCGGACTTTCTAAATCCTCGATCTTTCCACTGATCAGACAACCGGCACTGATTAAGGAGATCACAAGCTTCTATTTATAGAAGATGGAATCTGTGGCTACACAAACATGTCCATCTGCCTCATCATCCATCCAAATTAAACCATGGTGTCTTTTAAATGTAGGAGTTATGTGGCTCTCAAAGCGTTCACCCGGCTGTGTGGCCGTGAATCTAATTATGGCAACATTTACAGCTATGGTAGGTCATGGTGATCCGTGTGTGCTGTACAGTGAGGTGTGATTGTCATACAGTTGAAGTGGGCTGTGTTTCTTAGAGTGGGTGATGTCATCTATGTGTTTTGGAGCTCTTGGATAAAAGTGATCGCAGGAAAATATTTTGGGGTATTTATGGACTCTGGCCAAGGCATTTACAAAAACATGTGTCAGTGTTTCCAAATCCATCTGTCTCTAAGGTCTGTCAACAAATTCATTTTTAATTATTGTATGTATATGTACTATGTATATTTTAAAACATTGTTATAGCTATGACCCACATTGTTTATTCTTTACTCTAACCAAACCTGCTGACAGGCTTACAAAGAAGTAGATGAGTGAAAGGAATGACAATATTAAGACGGATGGGTCTGTGACTCGGACACGCCCTCGTGGCTTTAGTTCTTGTTGACAGATATGGCCAGAGGTTATGTTAAAAATCATATGGCCTATAATGGTGAAGGGAAAATGGTACCCATTACTGTATGGTTATTTTGCTCTCTTATCTGGACCAAGCAGCTGTTTTTATTTCTAAACCTAAAGAAATATTGTTGTTTTCTGACGCCAACCATAATGTGACAATATGACAATTTTGTAATAATTTGTATTATAACATATTTGTTATGATTTCTCATTTGCAAAATATGTCACATGCTGCAAAGGAAAATTTCTGAAGTCTTGGAAATTAGGTATTTTGACTTGAGCATGCATTACTGCTAGAAGAGCATGCATTGGCGTATAATGGTTTTGTTATTCTTGATTTAATTTTTTTCACCTTGATTGGAAACTTCCAAAAATGAAGGTGATATCTCAATTGTCTAAAATATTAATGACCTAATATATGATCCAGGGACAAATATGTTATCTTAAACCAGGGGAATTAAGATGAAAGGAGAGACTGAGTTCATTTACAGTATGGAAAAACATTGTTTACCACTAATTGCCACTCCAACTCCATAACAGCCTGTATGAGCAATGCCACAAAATATTCCAGACTGAAAGAAGATACAAAAAGAAACATCCCTCTATGTCGGAATTGCACAAATACAGGCTGCTCTATAATCCACCTCTTTTTAAAGATAGTGTGCAGAGGTAATCTAGTCTTGCTCATAGGAATTCTAAAGTGGTAGCCCAGATTATCTTCAGGAATCGAAATAACTCATTTCTATCCATCATAACTTAAACAGCAGAAAGAGACCCAGAGAGCTCCCAAGGCAGTGGATTATTGACTTGATATCAGTTTTGTATCTAAAGTGTTGAAAAGTAGTTCATTCTGATTGTTGTGCACTCCAAAAACATGTATGACATTTACATATGCCACAGCTTTCAGTAAAAACTGACAGTATAGTTATTTGGCTTTGAATGCCTGAGAGTCAGTTAGACACAGCGAAACTTTCAGGGATGCATAAATAAAAAGCATAAATCGAAAAGTGTACATGGAAATGCACTCATATATATCAACGCTCCACATATGTATTTCTTCAAAACAGCCACTTTACATCTTTGTTGTTATTCGTTTTTGGTTGCTATGAAAGGAAATTAAAATGGATGACTTGGTCCAAAGGTGCAGCCACGATGAGGAAAGGGAGAGTGCATCTTTACAGTCTTTATTTGATTTATTTTTTCCATATATGTTTTAAACTTTATTCCAGGATGGATTAGTCCAAATCCCTGCTCTGAGTGTGACTTAAATGTGCATTAGCATTTGACAGGTGTTCAGAGTGAACTCCTGGCTCCCATGAGTCCTCCCTGATGTGGACTCAGACAGCCTCTTTTCCTAATCAGATTTTCCTCGGCTGTCTGTGGTGAGATTTCTCTGCTCGTATGTCTGCACAGAAACTGTGGACTTATCTGTCAAAAAGTGATGCTCCGACCTCATGAAGTCGTGGTGAGTCAGAGGTATAATAGCATCTTTTATCACATCCAGGTGATGGGAGGATGAACAGTTGACACTGACTTCCTGGTAAATCTTCAAAAAGGGAAGTTCATGGCTTGTTAGAACACAGCGAAACATTATTTCCAACAAGACACCTCCCGCCTCTTCCAAAACACACACATTAGGACGGGCGCACGCAGACAGAGCGACACGCAAGCCCTCACTTTAATGCCAGGGTGAGGTTTGACGTGACTGACCTCATCACCTTTGCCCCTTAAATAACAGCTTCTCTCTGTCTCCTCCAGTCCAGTGATGCTGTCTCTCTCTGTCCGCAGACCTGAATGAGTGTGGACTGAAGCCCAGGCCCTGCAAACACAGGTGCATGAACACGTACGGCAGTTACAAGTGCTACTGCCTAAACGGCTACATGCTGATGCCTGATGGGACCTGTGGAAGTGAGTCGAAAAACGCACACGCACAGAACTCCACACGGCTCCACACGTGCATATTTTTCTGAGTTCCAGGATGTAATGTTGATGACACATGCCCACTGTCATAAAACATTCCCTTTTGTCTGAGGACCTCTGGCAGCAGACTTGCAATCCTTTGATAGAGTGTTTTGATTAAAGCTCCACATTGTTGCGCTTCATTATAGTAGCTGTGTTCCATGAAATAAAAAAATGGAAGTGCCCTACTTGAGCTAAACTGAAAAAATGAAAGAAATACAATCTTTAAACCCCTTGAGTGAATGTGCTGTTTTTATTGGACGCCCTCAGGTGTTCCACTAAATGTGAGCTGATGCCTGTGCACGTCTCCCAGTAAATTATGTTTCCCACCTGATAACTATTTTCCCTATATGTTTCCATTGAGGATGGTGTGACTCCCACTACCCCTTTTTAATTAGCTCCTTTCATATCAGACAAAAATTCACTCTCCTCCTTCTGAATTCTGAATTGCACACCACTTGAGGCACTCCACAATTATACAGGGGATTGTTTTGTAATGATAGCGCGATGGTGTTAAACACCTTACTGCTCCACTTTTTTTTTACCCCTTGCGACTGCTTTGATCAATGGCTCACTGTAGCATTTAATCAGCCCAGACTGCCTTCCTCATCAAACTGTACTCCAGGAAGCCTGGAGCAGCTGAAGTAGCTGCAGCAGCATGAGCCCTGCCTTCAATTTCCTTTTTTGGCTCTGAATTTATCAGGACAGGCTGAACAAAATCTTTTCCATTATATTGTTATTTTTCGAAAGTCTTGATCTTCCCAGCATGGCTAAAGAGCAGTGGCTCTGCACTTTGTGATTCAATACGGTGGAGATGAATTATCAGTCTTTGAGTATAATAAAGGATCAAAGAGGTTGAAGGACTGCTTGAGCTGAGGTGTGAGCACATAGCAACCGCACAGCAGAGGAATCTAATAATGGCAGAGTGTGCGCTGTTCTGTCAGCTGCACCCCGGGGTCAAGCTGGCTAATATCAGTGAAGGCAGGCGAGTGGCCAGGCTCTTACAAGCTGGCCGGAGGATAAGGAGCCTGTGTGGATGTGAGAAAAAAAAAAAAAAAGTAGGTGAGGGCAGTTTAAAGTCTTCGTCTTTGCACTCCCTCGTGGAACCAGCATGAGGTAACGTGGGCCGTTGTGTTCTTGTGTTTCCGTCAGACGCTCGCACATGTGCCATGGCCAACTGCCAGTACGGATGTGAGGTGCTGAAAGGAGAGGTCCGATGTCAGTGTCCATCACCGGGGCTCCAGCTGGCTCCGGATGGAAGAACCTGTGTCGGTGCGTCCCAGTCTTTATATATCTCCACAGGCCTGAAAACTGAGCTGCACATTACCACTCTTGCCTGTGAGCAGCTGATAAAAAGCTGTGTGTGGTTTACTAAGCCTGGAGCTTCACAGATGAAGATCGGATGGAAATGCTTCAGCAGGGGAAAAAAAAACAGAGATAAAACTAAATGCTGGAAAAGATCTGATTAGGAAACAAATCATTTAAGTTTAAGACAATTAACGGGGGAACTTCATGCTTTTAAGTATCTCACCCATCTTCAATTGGTATTTCAGTCTCAAAAAGTCTTTGCACCATTTCACCTTTTAAAGGGTGTATTTGCTCAGGAGGAGCCCACCTCTGTTAACCTGTGTCGGGTTTAAACACAGGATGCTTCAGTCTTAGCTCTTCCTGTTATGCAGCCGTATCGTCCCACTTAACTGCTGGTTGGCTAATGGGGGGCGGGTTACTGGAGCAGAGAGGGTGGACATCCATCATGAAGAAGCATGGAGGGGAAGAAAGGGTAACTTGGTACAGGTGTTCCAACAGTTTGAAGGAGTGGGGTCTGGATCTTTATGTATGTGAATGTTAAAATGGGACATTTTAATGAAGATTTTATTCCTTTTAGTGATCAGACTTTTGAAGTTCACGCGGGACTTGCAAAGCTGTGCGGCTAAACTAAAACCAGGCTGTGGCAGTCTGTTTTTGTTTAATCAATTTAGCTTGCATTTCCAGCAAAAAAACATTGTAAAATTCACCAAGAGTCCAACTTTTAAGTGTGTTTGAAATAACAAGCCACTACACATACATCATCATTCAAAATGATTAATTATTGGATGTTTTTTTCTGTATGTAGGAACAACTGTATGACAGGACAATACACAGAGAAAGAAAATTCATCTCCTTTTTAAAATGACTGGCTGTAAATTGTGTCAACGTTTGTCTATCAGGAGTAGTATTGGTTGATTTTTCTGAAATGGAAAATGATGACCAAAACCTTTGCTGTTCATTCCTCAATCCAACTTTTTTGCCAATCCTTGTGAGTAATTCAGGTTGAAAAAAAATTGAGAAATGCTTTTTGTTCACCCTGATGTTTCACCTGTGTGTTTTCAAATTATAGCAGGTTTTGAGAAGCAGCATAAATAATGCAGTAATTGTTTCCTAAAAATGTACTCAACGAGAAATCCCCGGAGACGAATGTGTCATCCATTAGAGGGAGATAGTGTGTTAGCTTTTGCTCTGCGGGAAATCCTGAAAAAACCTCTGAATACTGACGACATTCGTTTGATGTCTTCTGTTGCTGCAAATGAGACAGCATCACAGGTTGATACTGCCTCTTATGAAAATGACTGAAATTTGAGAGCTTAGCGTTGTTGGCATGTGTATAAGTGTAACAGCGGAGTGAAATCTCTTTGCTCACTTATTTGCTATGATACAGAGAAGCCAGAGCTTTTTAAAAAAAATAAGCATTATCTCTAGATATGACACAACAAAATTCACCTTCAATGTGCATTTGTTAGTTATTTTATATTTATAAGGAAGTCTCCAGCTCTTGACCATTAGGCAGCTCCACTGAAGCAGTTTGGGATTAAGAGTCATTCTGATGTTGTTAAGGGGTTTACATACTTTGCTCTCTTGCTCCTCCAGCATTCCCAGGTATGTGTCTGTGCTTTTTTTGGTGCTCCTAAACAACATTCACTGCTGTCACACTCAACTGCAAATTAGTGAGTAATCTTTTAAGCAAATACGTGCAGCCCCCCCGGCGTAAATAACAATGCCGTCAAGCCCCAGGTACTCCACAGAATTACACTGAGGTAAATGTCTTATTCTTAAATTAATGCAAAATGTGGAAGTTGAAAAAGGCTTCAGCTATGAGCAGCAATGTTCATCAGGCTTTTTATGGGATTGTTTTAATTTGGCCTGATGTCGTCTGAAACAAAAACAAACTACAAGGCACTTTTAGTACAAGTGGGTGAATCTGTAATAAGAATTATTGCGAATACTTTCTTTTTTCTTTTGCAGATGTGGATGAATGTGCTGCAGGGATCGCGGTGTGTCCCAGGTTCAGGAAATGCATAAATACATTTGGCAGCTACATTTGCAAGTGCCACGACGGCTTCGACCTACAATACATCAATGGAAAATACCAGTGTACAGGTGCTCTCACATTTTCCCCTTTGGCTATCTATTTATAGTTAAAAATGTTTAATATCTTTTAAGATATCCAGGCAATTTTTGGACTAACAAATATAGTAAGATATGTAAGATAAAATATGTATTAGCATTACCGCAGAATGCTTTAATACATATTTTTAGAAATGTAATCTAATATCAGAAAAGATCACTGATTCCATCCATCCATCCATCCATCCATCCATCCATCCATCCATCCATCC